GTTCAGGTTGGATGTTAGGGACATGTTTCTTTTCTGGATGAGTGTTCAGGCACTGGCATTGCTGCCCAGGGAGTGGTGGGGCACCAGAGGTGTTCCAAAGGGAACTGGTTTGGTGTCATGGTGGGATGGGTTGGGGTTGGCCATCTTGGGTAGATCTTTTCCAACCGTCATGATTCTAAATTGTAGATAAGGCAGATGTGAGTGTGCCACCGCCTCAGGCAATGCAGGGCAGGAGTTGCCAAGCACTGACTTGGATGGCACAGACCTCAGAAGCTGCCTGTGTCTTACAGGCATCCTCACCCTCTGTGTGCATTGCTGGAAGCAGGAAGGCACCACGTGTCTGCAGTGTCTCGAAGGTGGGGGTTTGACATGCTCAGTTTAACAAGAATATTGGCTGGATCTGTCACTTCTGGTAGCGTCGTTTGATATGTGGCTGTAAGAGCTTTATGCAACACAGCTGACGTGTGTAGGGTATAAATGTGGATTTTCCTTATCCAGCTTTGGACTCCCCATCACCCACAGCGCTCCATTTATGTCTGCCCTCTGGCACATTCGTAGTGACTAGTAGACTAGTGCAAGGCTTGCATCTCTGCTGTATTTCTCGTGCTGCAATAAACCAGGGCTGTGCAAGGCAGGCAGACCTGCGTCCCCGGGGCTTCTCCCAGTGCTGCCGTGTGAGCAGCAGCCGCTGAGCGGCAGCGCTGCCCGAGGAACGGTGCTTTGGGGGGAGGAGGAGGAGAAGGAAACCACCCCGCATTGATTTCCTCTAACAACTGCTTCATCACTGCTCGCCCATCCTGCCACACCGCACGGCTTTTGTACATTTGGGAGCGGTGCCAGCACTGCCTGCAGAGCTGCGGTCCCTTCTCTTTGTACACCCATAAAGCTGGCTCTCTCCTCAATGGATCATCTCGGGCTGGGTTGTATCCTCTCTATCCCAGCTTAATGTATAGGAAATCCCTGGAAGAGCCCTGCAGGAGCTTGCTCACAACAGCTTATTAGTGCCTGCTGTGCTCTCATTTAGCCACTTCTGCACCCGTTTTCAGATGATGGCAGTGCAGTGGGCACTCAGGGGGGAGGAAGGCTGTGTGCTTCTCCATGCTTTCCCATTAGCTTGTCTGGTTGGGAGCTGCTGCCCTTTAATTAAACCAGCACAGTATGGAGTTGCTATTCTGAGCCTATTGCATTCTCATCTGGTTTGGAGTAAAACTTGGCTGGTTTGAGGTTAGCCCTGCTCCATTGTGTCTCTAAGAGAAGGAAGGAGCGGGGAATCGATCTGGGTCTCAGCGAGCGTCGAGGGGCTGCGATGCACTTCGCCTCCCCTTGGCTCGCAGCAGGGAGCCCAGCCAGCAGCATCCCCCGTGTCCATCCATGGGGGCTGGGAGGGACCCTGCAGGGCAGCAGCAGGAGGATTTAATTAGCAGCATATGGAGAGTTAAGGAAGTACTGGGCTCTGCTCAGAGACACCGCTGCGAGCTGCAGGGCGGCGATGACAGCCCCGTGTGCTGCCTGTTGGTTACACTGAGATGTTCTCGTGTTTTTATTTCTTAGCCGCCCCTCTTTGCATTTTGCTCAGTCAGTAAATGGTTTCGTGTGAACTCCTCCAGGAGCAGCAGGCACTCAGGAATGCTGTGGGCCGTGCAAACAGCCCCTGATCTGTTTGCATCCTCTGTTTCCATCCATGCAGCACGGCCAGGTTGGCAGCAGTGCAGGGTTGGGGGGATGCTGAGGGCTCAGGGCTTTCTTCCCCCATACGTGGGCTGGAGCTCACAGGGTTATTTTTAGCGGAGGGTGGAGTCATAAAGAAAATAAGTTTGGGCTGTGTTTTAAAACTGCAGCGTCTGCGGTGCGAGGAGCAGTGGAAGTGCTGAGGAAGGTCCATTCTTATAAGGTGCTTCCTTCCGCCTTCATGAGGTGCAGGGGGAATTAAGAAGGGCCTTCAAAGGTTGCAATGCCCGAAGCTCGTGCTGCCCCGAGCACAGAAAGCTGCTGACCCAGAGAACAAAGGATGCTCCTGAACCCAAACGTGTTTGTGTTAATCCCGGCTGCTTCCTGGCGGCCAGCAAGAGGAAATGGAGCTCTGCCTTTAACAGCTGCACAGTGAGGAGATTACAGAGCCACGGAACACCCTCTCCATCACATCCCCCCCTTTGCTGTCCCGGCCCAGTGCCCTGTGGGCTGTCCCAGTCTGCCTGCCAGGCTGGGGCAGATGCAGCAGGCAGGAGATGCTTAATCTCCTGCATCCGTGCATGGTTCCCAGTGCCAAGGCTCCTCCAAACCTGAAGCGTGGGCTGTATATCTGTATATATATCTGTATATCTGCTGTATATCTGTACCTGGGAACTGCAGGAGAAATGCAGTGGATTCACGAGGAATTGAACTGAAACACTGCTAAAACCCAAGTAAAATGGGTTTTCCAGCATTGCATGCTGCTCTCCAGGCACTGAAGGAGAAGCGGGGCGGCCTCTTGGGTTTGGGGTGGGTGTGGAAGCTGCAGGGGCTGGAAAGGATGCATTCCCCCTCTGTGTGGGCTTAGAGCTGTCTTGTTGTGTGGTAGCCTGTCTTGGTGCCAAGGTTATACAATAGAGATAACGTAGGGCGGCTGCAGAAAATCAGCCATCCTACTGTGTGTTTAGGTTCATTAATATGGAAATGGCGGAGTACGTTTCCTTATCGAGCAAAAAGCTGCTTCTGAAATAAAAGAACCCTCTGTGCAAGTTCTGTCGAGATCTGAATTGTTATTGCGTGAGAGGTGCAAAACCTTCCATCGGCCAAGCAGGTTTGATTCAAGGAAGCATAAAAATGCAGGAGGTTGTTCTGCTGCTCTCAGGCGACGGCTGTGACTGTGGTTATGGCGTTGGAGCAGCTCCCTCTGCCTGAACCACGGGCTTTTGTGCACAGGGATCCAATGGGATCTGCTGTACCCACAAACAATGGGCCATTGTGCTGGGTGAGCAGGGAGGGGAGTTGTGTGGAGCTCCGGTAGCAACTCGTGCATCCTCACATCTGTCCCATCTCAACCTGGGAGGAGACAGCGGGGTCGGGAGCTGTACCTGGCATGGGGGTGGCCAGCCGGGGTCGGGACTCAAAGTGCTGTGCCTGTTCCCTTCCTCTTGTCTGTCAAGGAATCCTTTTTCCCAGGTGTAGGAGATGACTGTTGGGCAAACAGAAGCAGCTCGAGGGAAGGCGTTGTTTTTAAATAACCACGGCATTGGAAGGGAGAGCGGTGGTAATGGCAAAAGGCAAAGGGGAGGGCTTGGTACCAAACCTCGAGCAGCACCATCTGCTGTGGGCAGACATCTAATTCGGCAGCGAAAGAGGCTCCTGGAGTTAAGTAGTTGAGAATTGCAGGCTCCTGGCTGAAGAGCCTGCCAACCCTTCTGGCAAAAAGCTGTTAAATCTTTGTTGCTGGCATGTGAAAGTGGCTCTGTAGCAGGGCTGCAGCAGCTGCTTTTAACCCTTGGTGTGCACAGCCATCCAGCATTTTTGATCTTGGAACAACCTGAGTGGTGAATGAAAAGGGAGGGAGGGTCTGTGACACTTTGGGGTGCTTGGCTCTCCCCTTCCTACAGCCCCGTGCCCTGCAACGTGCAGAAGTATCCTGTCTGGTAAGCTGCATGAGAGGCCCTTAATTCCTGAGATGAAAGCATAAGCTGTGGGGCATCTCTAGTGAGCACAAACACAAACAAGTTAACATTTGGCACCCTCCTAGGGGCAGCTTCCTTGGAAGCTTTGGTCTCCATCCTGTTTGTCTGATAGGTGATCAAAAGCACTCTGCTGCCTACGTGTGTCTCTGAGCAGAGAAAAGGCCGAGAGCTGAGGAGAACTCAATTAGACAGCAGCTAATTGTGGTGTATACTCATTGATTGTCCATTTCTTTGTTAAAAGAAGGTAATGCACCCTAAAGGATGTCTCAGTGCTCTGGTTGTGCAACTGGAGCAGGGCAAGGCTGGTGGGGCTGTGTGGCGGAGGGAGGGAGGATGCTGTGCAGCCAGATGGTTTTCCTGCCAGGGGAGAAGGTTGGATTTAAAGGCTGGGTCCCAGCCATCCTGAAGATGAAACGGTTGGATCGCAAAACATGTGCTTCTTCCAAGTTTGATTTGGATGTTTTTTAATCTTCCTCAAATTAAAGGAAAATCTCTTGTTTGACCCAAAACAAAATTATGTTTTCTTTGGATGGCCAATGAAAAAAATCAACTGTCTCCCAGTGTTAGTCCAAGCTCTGTTGCCAGCAGTGCCTCCACAGCTCCTGCGCCGTGCAGCTCTGCCAGCCAGGCTGAGCCTTCTAGCTGAAGGTTTATAAGAAGAAGAGAGTTTGGTCGCTTGCTTTAAATTTAATTCAGCTGTTCTGGTTAAATTCATAAATATTTGTTCATATGCCACTCTGTTCTGTGGATGTGTGTCCACATCCTGCTTTTAAGCTGTTTACTCACGTAAGCCATTCTAACTTTATTTAGTGAGGTTTCACAAAGCTGAATATAGACCCTCATGCCTGTGAGGTGAAGGAGTTTTCGATGCAGCCACGAAACACCGGCAAGCTTTGCAGTGTGCTGAACTGAAAGCCGCCTCCGTGAAGGTGAAAGGTTTGGGTCAGGAAACCCACAGGAAACCCACTGCTGACCTTTAGCAGCGTGCTTTTGTTTCTGCAGCCTGTTGCTGGAAGTTTGCAGCTGACCTGTTGGCTGTTCCATGAGTCTTAGGTGGACTGCTATGGATGGACTCTTTAAAACGTTGTAGATAGCTCCAGCTGTGTTTTGTGCCTGGATTCTCGTGCCTTGGAGACCCCATTGCTCCTGTTATTGATGGCTCACTGTGGTCTCTAGTGGAGGACAGACCCTCTGAGGCCTCATATTTCTACACAGAAATATCCAACCCCATCCTCAAGCAAGAATCTGCAATGTACTGGGGAAAGAGATGGGAATTCTTCCAATCCCTAATGCTCTCAGTAGTGTGCTGGGTCTTCTCATCCTTTAATGCTTGTTCTCTTCTTTCTTCTTCAGGAAACATGTCGGAAGTGCCAGGGGCTGTGGAAGGAGCACATGAACCTCACCTGCGAGCAGCTGGCTGAGAAGGATGACATCAAGTATAGGACATCCATGTAAGTAAGCCCCACGAGCTGGCACAAACGAGGAGTGGATAAAATTGTAACAGCAGTATGCCAGGCACAGAACTGGTACTTAGGAAGGTAGGATAAATCCTACCCTTATCAGCTGTTCTTGTAAATGTTGGAAGCCCTGGAGCTTTGCTGGGTGTCTGTGCCTTCCATTGTGTCCTGAAGACTTCAAGCTGGAGGATGCAGACAGCCCCTGGGAGGGGATTTCATTCTGTGGAAGGTAATTGGCAGCGGATCCAGGTGGTAACCTGGGAATGTGGGAGACTTGTTGGCAGCCTGGCCTGTTGCTCTGGCTGGCCCGGTGTCTCACAGGCCAGCACCTGGAGAGCCTCATAGAGGTGAGAAAGCCTGCTGAGTCTTGCTTCCATTCACCTGGGGCAGAAGGGAGGTGTTGTGGGAGGCAGAGATGTGTATTGAGTCAGAGTAGCTCAGGACCGTTTGAAAATCTCAGCTGGTGACAACATGCTGAAATGTGGCTTACTCAGCCACTGCTTTCTGGCCTTATGGGAACAGACGTGCTCGTGTGTTTCTAACTGGTTGGTAGGAATCTCTACCAAATAGACTCGCTTTCTGAAGTACTCAAATGTTTCCCTAACGTCTTTGGAAGCCTTGTTTCTCTCCTTGCTGCAGTACATGACAAAATCCACTGGCTTTAGGAAACAAGTGAGGGCTGAGCCTTGGGGCTGCATGCTTGGCGCAGTCTGAGGGGAACTGCCTGTGTTGCCCAATCCTTTCCTCTCTGATTCAGTCTGTCTGGTATGAGTAGAGCTTGGAAAGCTCCACCGCTGGGAAGCTGAATGACTGTTACTTGCTCATCCCGCAGCCTGTACTCGAGAGCAAGATGTTACAGATTTTATATGGCTTCTTTCTCTTGCCACTCCTTTCCCTATAGGAAAGAGGGGTGAGAAGGAGGAGAAACAAGTTGTCGTGTCCCTAATATGGAAAAAAATCAGTTTCAAAACCTTTGGCAGGTCACTGCAGCAGATAGGTGAGTCGCAGTGCATGATACAATGAAAGCTTCCTTTTGAAGCCCTGAGTAAGGAAAGGGAAGCACAGCTGGAGCTCGGGCCAAGCTTCCTGCCTCGCTCAGAGTTTCCAAAAAAAGTCTGAATCAGCAGCATCCTGTTGAGCAGAGGAGGGAAGAGCAGCTGCCGTTCGGAGCAGTGAGCCTCAAGTTGATTTTTTTCCTTCCTGTCTATTCTTAGCCCATTTCCAACAGCCTGGGCACGCATCGTGCTGGATATAGCTGCAGGGGAGCTTGGTGTAGCTGCAAGGCAGCTGAAATTCCCACTTCTGGCTGCCTTTTTTTCCACTTGGCCGTTCACCGCTCCTCTGGCTTTGCAGATGGAGCAGTTTGAGGGGCTGTGTTGTGGCCTGCTCTGTTGCTGGGATCCTCCTTAAAAATCCTTCCCTGTCATCTCCCAAACACATGTTGGCTTTGCAGATCCCCTGGAGCAGCTGGGTGGAGATGCTGGCTGCTGGTTCTGTGCTGCAGGGTCAGTGCAGCCAAGGGGCCGTGCCTCCCTCCGTCCAAATGCAGTCCCTTCCTTCTGCTGTCATCAAATTTCACTTCTCAACTGTGAATTAAATTGTAACGTGATCCCCAGCAGTCATAAAATTGGCCCTCAGGCTGACAACTTGTATTCTTAAGTCTTTTAATTAAGTGACCGGTGCTTTCCTCCATTTCTGTGCCAAAACAGCATTGCCATGAGCCAAACCTTTGCTCAGAGCACGTCCCTGCCAGGCTGCCTGCTGGGGACAGGGACTGTGCCCTGCCTTGCCTTCCCACTTCTCCCTGTCTTCCATACCTAAAGCAATAACCTCTGGAAGACTTATGCAGAGAATCTTCCTGAAAAGGCTGAGTTTCTTTGGGGAAAATTGTGATTATTTTTTAGCGACTGATTGAAATTTAATAAAAGCCAAATAAATCTGTAGCACAGCAGCCAGGATTGAAAGCAGTCTACGTGGTCATGGCATCTTTGTAGCCGCAGCAACGGCCGGACACAAAACTAGCTGGCAGATGACCACAGCTGTTTGCTTTTCCCCAGCTTTATCTCCTCGGCTGTATTTCTTTGCAGCCGAGTCAGGAATCTGTGCGCCCTTTGGTCTCCTGACTTATGGTGTGAATTCCTCCCGATCCGGAGCCCGGCACTGCTGTGTTTTGGCTCGCATGGAAACCAGAATCAGGGCTGTAGCACGCAGGCTGCCATTGACTTTCTTTCACTTAATTTGTTCTCGAGTTGTCGTGGGCTGACTCCAAGTGGAACTGAGCCCAGACCTCCTTGGAACAGCAGCCGACCGTGGAGATGGTGTAGGAGGGAAGAAGCGGGAGCGGGGCTGCCGGGATGGTGTGGCAGGGACGGTACTGCAGACACCCCTTCTCTGATCCTCCTCCCTCTCCCCTCGTGTCGCAGAGAAGAGAAAATGACAGCGGCCCGAATCAGAAAATGCCACAAGTGTGGGACCGGCCTGATCAAATCGGAGGGCTGCAACCGCATGTCGTGCCGCTGTGGAGCGCAGATGTGCTACCTGTGCCGGGCCGCCATCAACGGCTACGACCACTTCTGCCAGCACCCCCGCTCACCTGGTGCTCCCTGCCAGGACTGCGCCAAGTGCTCCCTCTGGACGGATCCCACAGTAAGTGAGGGAGGATGCTGGGGAGCAGTTTGCACTCTCATTTCAGTTATCATTCAGTGCCGTTGAAATGCATGCTTTGCAATAGAGGGAAATGAGCGTTTTTAGGCAGTGCAACATTTTTCCTCTCCCAAAGCGGCTAGAAAACACTCTAGCATGTGTCAAGCAAGCCCACATCAGCACAGAGTCCCGTCTGACCACAACTTGTTCCTAGCTTTGCATCCAGGTTGCTGTTTGCTGTGGCTCTGCACCTGCTGTCTTCCTGGTGCCCCACAGCTCTGCTTATCTGCTCGGCTCACTCTGCCAATCCCTGTGAGCCAAAGCTGCAGTTGTGTCCGTTCTCACGGCTGTTGTCAACAGCTGCAAAGGAAGAACTGAAATACCACTGTGCTATGAGGGAAGCTGTAGTGAGTAACTTGAAACTTTGCTCTGTTATACTCTTGTAGCTGTGGGATGGAGTGATTTCATGCAGCAGCTCTATGAGTAGAGGTTGCCCGTACCACAGATCCAAAGGCAGGAGCTGAGTTTCCTGATTTCAGCGGAGTAGCAGAGCGGTGTGAATGTGGATCTGCCTTCTCAGAGCTTCTTTGAGCTTCGGTTGTTCCAATGCTTCTTTGTCTCAGGATGCTGCAGCTTGTCAGCCTGCTCCCAGCATCTCTTGCTGGGAACGTGCACAGTGCTGCACAGGCATGGTGCAAAAAGCAGAGCCACTGCATCTCTCCCTTCTACCAGAGTAAGCTTCCTAGTGCTTTGCTTGCCTGCCTGTATTCTGTTATCTGCAGCAAGAGGTGTTACACTAAACACAGGCACTTGCTTCCAGGCTCTCCCATTTCGGACACATGGCTGTGCCATCCCTCAGCCCTGCACCTCCTCCCTGTTTCCCACTGGGACACAAGTGGTGGTGCTGAGTCCTTTGTTCCCATCAGGATGCTGATTGTGCTCAGTAATGGCATTTGTTCCGAGCCAGAGAAAACACGGGGCCTCTCAAAAAAGCTCATACTGTACTTTAAAATAAATAAATAAGCAGGCAGCACAAAGGAAGCACTGTCACCGGGCCCTTTCCAGCTCTCTAATTAACCAATACTGTGGCAGAGAAAGATTTCCCACCGTCAGCAGAGAGCTGGCACTGCCTGCTTTGTTTTTGGTGTTGTGGGGAGTTGAAGCAGGGTGACTGTCCTTGCTGCAGTGCAGAAAATAACGTGAAACTCCGCTGCTGGCTTCTCAGGGTGAATGATGAGTACCAGTTTGCATTGCCCCCCTGTGCGAGTGATGCTGTTAGAGACAGCAGTGCGGTCCCTCCTGCTGATCTGCTTTCTGTGAGCAGGAGGTGATGTGGGAAATTTGAGCAGTGGGGAGTGAGTGTGGATCTGCACATTAGATGTGAACCTGCAAAATGCCTTGCAGTGTCCTGTCCTTTGTCAGGGGTGATGCTGTTCCACCCCAGCCCTGTTGGCATGGCATCTTCTTGGGCCTTTCTTGCTTCCATTTCCTCTTTTTCTTCCACCTCTTTCATTCTGTAGTGGTCAGTGGGTGCCTAGTGCTGTCCGTATGGGAAGAGAGCATCTGCTGTAGCTGCAGCCCTGTTCTGTGTGCACTCAAGAGCAGAGAAGACAGGTCTGTGTCTGGTGGGCTTTGCAGCCCATTGCCCAGGAGTCCTTGGAACAGACTGCTGCAAAATGGGGAGGGCACACGTGTGCCACCAAAATGTGGCTTTTAGGGGGTGATGGGACGTGTTTGTTCTGCAGGGCTGTGCTCACAGCAGACCGGTGGTGCAGCCATAGGGCCACTGTCTGTTTTTATTTCACGGCCACAGACTGCAGCTTTGTTAGACCTGGGGAGCTTCACACTTTGGTGAAAAATCTGCCTCGGGTTAATCCCTCGTTATTTAAGGCAGATTTGGGGTTTCTTTCAAGTAGGGAAGCTTTGTTCTCCAGCGGGCGTTTAACGTTCTCTGAGTCTGAAACGATTCTTGAGAAAGGGTAAATCGACCTATTCACGGCTCGGCTTCGGGATGAAAGACTCGGTAGAGGCAGCATCTGTGCGTCTTTGTCTGCGGTGATCTTGGGAGAATAAAGCAGACCCTTCTGACTGCTCCTGAGTACTACTACTGCTGCTGTAGTTCACAAGCATGGGGCGATGCCTGCCGGCTCAGAGATGAGCTGCAGCCGGGCTGCGGCCACACTCCTCCATGGCACCAGAGCGGGGTTCTGCTGCAGCCGTGCAGCTCTGCAGGGTATCGGCACGTGCTGCCCTGGCTCGGCTGCTCCTTGAGGCTGCGTGAAGTCTGATGTGCTGCAGGACGAAGCAGGGAGAGCTGATTCTGCAGGCAGACGGCAGATCTGGGGCTCAGGGCTGAGCGTTGGCTGCTGAGCGTCTGCAGCAAAGCCGAGGCTGATGACCTGCTGGAGGTGGTGTGCTCTGATCCCGTGCTGCAGTTTGTCTGCTTTGGGTAAGCTGGGTTCTGCACTCCTGTGCATCACCTTTAATTCAATGCCCGTTTTTAAATCACAGACTCACAGAATGGCAAAGGTTGGAAGGGATCTCAAGGATCGTGAATCTCCAACCCCCCTGCCACGTGCAGGGCCACCAACCTCCCCATTTAATACCAGACCAGGCTGCCCTTAAACTTGTGATAAAACCGCGTTGCAGCTTTTCTTGGCTTTAAAGTTGATCTTATACTTCTCAGTAACCCTTAAAACACTCCTGAACAGCCATTGTTGAAGTTGGAAGTAGAAGGCAGATTGCTGTGAGCTGTTTGCAGTTATCCCTCTTTCTCGCACTGCTACCAGGAGCTGCTGAGCAAAGACTGCAGAAGTTCAGCTGCGTTAAGAAAATGCATGAAATGCACTGAGTTCAGTGTCTGAAGGGAAGTCTGCAGTGTTGGGGGAACATCCCCCCAAACTCAGTTTCTTTCCAGCATGCTCTGTAATGCCTTAATCAGAAGCATATGGTGAACTCATGGCATCCCCAGAAAGTCATCAAGGCACACCAATAGCAATGGCTGTTGCTAAAAGGTTTCTCTGCTCCCCCTCCCCTGCAGCACTGCTCCCATCCCTGCTCTGCACTGCAGGAGCAGCCCCCAGCAGCCCCCCACCGTCCTGCAGCTGATCTGGGAATGATTTGAAACAAAACCCTGCAGTCCTTTGGCCTGAAAATCACTGTGAGTTGATTGGGAACGGCTGTGGCCACACGTATGTGGAAAAAGAAAGCGGTGGAAGGGCAAAAAGGAAGGGGGAGGTAATGGTGGCAAACACACCCCCAGCCCCTTGCTGAAGGCTGGGCAGGGAGTGCAGCTCACAGCAGCCCCAGTCCTGGTCTCTCCCCTCATGAGGCAGCAGCCCTTTTCTCCCAGCAGTTAATAACTAAAGAAGGCAGCTAAAACCAGAGCTCTCCAAAGCTCTGTAGGTATGCTGTTGTTCTGGGCAGGGGGTTCTGTTTGGGGCTCGGTTCTGTTTGAGGCTTGGCCCTGCGTGGCTGGCAGTGCTCTCAGTATCTCTCACCGCTGCATTTCCTTCCTCCCGTGTTTCCCAGCAGCTCTGTGGCCGTGCCCAGCTCTTCACTGGGTGCAGCCCCAGCACAGGGCCGTGCCCGGCTCACTGCCGTGTGATGCTGCACACAGTGTGGGCACATCTCACCCTGTTGTGTCAGCCAGCCCTGTGGCAGGTGCTGCAAATAACCTCACTTGCTTTCTGCAGCACTCGCAGATTGGGAGGGGGTTGCAGCTCCCAGCTTTCGCCTTTCCCCTCCTCCCATGCTGCAGCATTGCTCTGCACGTTGTCCCTCACAGCCAAGGGGTCCCTCCTTGCTCCAACACCATACCCCAGCCCCCTCAGTGCTTGGGCCTCTGCTTTTTTTCCCTTTCCCATTTCTTTTTGCTGTAGGCGAGGCAGCTGACGGGAAGATGACTGCTAACTCGATGGGATCAATGCCTCCTTGCACACAGCCTGCGAGCGGGCGATGAAAATCATAATCCAGCCCTTATGAAGGGTTGGGAACCCGCTCAGCAAACAGACACAAGAGGCTTTTGAAGCAGTGCCTCCAAGCCATGTGACATCAGCACCAAACCAGCCCGAGCGTGGCAAAGAAAACCTTATTTTTGGTGTGGATGCTTTGCCCCTGAATGAATCCCTGCAATTGCAGTGGGGTCAGGCTGATTTCTTGCTCCTGACAGTGCAGCATGCAACAGCCAGGTCTCGTGGCATCAGCAGTCCTTCCAAATAGCCCCCTGTTACTCACTGCATGCACCCCCCTCTCTGTTTTGTTCCAGCTGGAATGTGGGTCTTCCCAAAATACCACAGCTACTGAACGCAATGCGTTGTGCCAAACCCCATGTCAGCTTCTGTTTTCAAGCAGGAAGGTGCATGTTGTGCGGTGTATTTCTCTTCCCCTGATATTAACGGGTACCAGCCTGTGAGGTCTGCTCCTTTCTGCAGATGGGCTCTGCACTTAGGGTGATGTGGTTTATGTCATCCCTGCGGACTGGCCTCGCTTTGCAGCTCTGGCAGATGGGGGTTTGCTGCTTTGTGCCTTTGCTCCTCTCTGGGAGCTGCAGTGATTGGAGCAGCATCCCAGGGGTGCATGAAGCCAGAGGGCAGATGGCTCTGTGGGGCTGGAGGTAGTGCAGGGGTCAGCTGCAGGGTAACCCGGGGTCAGGTGGCCAATGCTGCAGGAGGATCCTAGGGAGCTGTGCTGTTGCTGGGAGAGCCCAGATTTCTGCAGCATCGATGGGGCCAGCAGGGATGGGATGGGATGGGATGGGATGGGATGGGATGGGATGGGATGG